TATAATTAACTTAAATATGAGATATTACAAAGATGCCCTTAGTAGGGCGGCAACTCAAACTAAATAGTTACAACTCTTTAAAAAATAAAAACTAATGGGCCCAAGGCCCAACAACTTCTTAATTTAAAAGAAAATAAACTAAACACAAATCGGCCCACTCAACACAAATTGTGGCGAGGCCACTAGTGTCTCATCCTACGAGGGCGAGGYTGATTGAGACTCGACCAACGGCTACAAGTCCGTTGGAGAAAACAATAAGCATTCAGGGAGAAATCTCTATTGCCCTGACACCCGCCTCTCTGACCCTATTGCTTGTGGTAGTTGATCTAAATCGAAGGTATTTCCAATTTAGAGATATTTGTATTTCTTAGTTAGTTATTTTCCCCTTTTTTGGATATAGTGTGATATTTAAGTTCTTTGTATATTGTAGGTTGAGATGATTAAATCCCAGAGTGTTATTCTAGAAGACAAACTATGTTCATTTACGGGTTCTATGCTTGGGAACCTTATGGAAGTTGCAAGGCGTGGGAGGATTGAACATGTTATGTTTATTTGGTGATTTTCTTTTCTTTGTCTAGATTATTTCTGTTGTACTCCTTATTCTTTATTGTTTAGGTTGAGGAACGACTTGAGGAATTCAAAGAGCAACTTCGAAATGTTTCCGCTGGTGAAATTTCATCTTCAGACAATGTTACCACTAAGTTGGTTAAGTCTCTAAATGAAGGCATGGGTACCGTCTTGGTTAATTTGAAGTAGTGCAACAGGATTGTGGAGAGGGTTTTGAATGATGACCCTACTCAAGCTCTTCCTATTATTGTTGGAAATATGGATACCCTACTCAAGCTCTTCCTATTATTGTTGGAAATATGGATTCTATCTCCAATGTCGACGAGGTTCCTGTTGTAGATAAATCAGTTCCTGTTGATGAGCCTAGGATTGATCCTAATGACCTTGAGGCCACGATTGTTCTGGAAATAACTGCTTTGGAAGAGGGTGATGTTTCAAAGGATAGAGTTTCTATAGGTGAAGAAATTAAAAGGGATGACATTAACAAGGATGATATTACTATTACCGGAGCTTCTAGTAATGAAGACATGGTGACAGAAGATATTGTTATTCCAAATACGGATTCTCTAGTGGTTGACAAAGCTAGTAATAATGTTGAAGCTCAAGATGTGAACCCTTTGCCTCTTGTTGTTTTTAAAATCGTGGATGCTATCAATCGAGTCATGGAGGAGAAAGATATTGCTTCTTTGGTGGTGAAGAAGTTGGATGAACTACGGAGCCGGTATGCTGCTGAGGGTTTGGATGTTATCGAAGTTCCTTTGGAGGATTGCGAGGATGTGTGTCATGCAGAGCTTTAGTGCACATATTCCATCCCTCGCAATCTTCTTTTTGAGGCGAGAAAGCTGTTAGGGTTGAAATCCACCCTTGTGTGAAATACGGTAAAATAGCTTAGTATGCTTAGCACACTTGCAACTGTGTGCAAAGCTGTTTGTTCAGGGCTGGTTTCCCTATTGGTGGTTTGATTGAAAGAATTGAATATATGTCCTTGATATCAGCCATTGATAGGGAGCATTCTTCTGCCCTTGAGTTTGGTAAGAAGTTAAAGGCTCGTGATGCTATTGTTAGTCATTGCCTTGAGAGAAGTTTAAGGCAGAAGCTGGTGTGCTTCTTGATACTACCCAGAAGCTAAGTGGTAACCGACAAATTATGGAGAAGTATTACCTGAGTCTTAAGTAATTGTGGCCTTGTGTGGACTTGTATATTTTTGTCCTTTAGTTGTATGTATGTGTTAAAGTGGGCCGAATAGGGGTAGTTTAGTCATCTTATGTTTGTTAAGTGATTTGCTTATGTGGCAGTTTTATTAGAGACACTCTGCCCCACACTTAAGTAAGGGCAGTTTAGTCTTTGTAAATGTTATTAGAATCTAATGACTATTAAGGGGKTCRACTGAATGGGATAACCATCAGATTTCGACAGACCCTTCTTTTCCTTCTTCTTCCTCTTCTTCTTCCTTCTCTTCCTGGTTCGGGTTACTGTAGCAGCATTTGAAACAGTATGTATGGAATTTTGTTATTTTGGCCAAATTTTGCTTCACAAAGCTAAGCTTTCCTTATGCTGTATACAATTTTTTCCCTATATTTTCTTTCATTTTCCCATTTTTAACGATGTAGTATATGACTTATAAAAGTTGCGGTCTGACGAGATCAATAATTCTTTCTTGCAAGGTTATGTAAACTTTTGTATGTAATGAGATTTTTATTTGCCTCACGAGGTTTGGCTGTTATATGGATTTCTCGTATTTTATGAGGCACAAATGCCTTTCATGTGTTAAGCATGAGTTTTTCCTTTTTGCACAAACTATTAGTTGGATTATGTGTTTGTATTTGTAGAGTGCAAGCCAAGAGTGTTTTTATATTCATTATTGCAAGGCACAGTGCCTTTGTGTTGTGTGACTGCATTTGTATGATACATAGAGATTTTGTTTTGCTTAATCGTGTGCTTGTAAGATTTAGGAACTCTGTTTCGCATGGCCTTTGTTTATGCGAGAGGTGCTGGGCCTTTGTCTTGAACAATTTCATTGTATGTGAGGTGTTTAGTTTTTATTGAACAACTTCATTGTATACGAGGTGCAAGGCCTTTTTACCCTCAACTATATATCCACTGTCTCACAACTGGAAACATGCCTCCTTTTTTAGTTCATTGTCTGCTTAGTTTTCAAACATTGGTTTTAACATGTCTTTTCTACATTTTTGGTGTTTAATGTAGCTTGACCTATGCATGCATGGACAACCTTCCTTTTTTCTTGAGTTTAATGGTGCTTCAAAAAGAAACCCTGGAAAAGCTGGTGCTGGAGTTATACTACGAGCTGAAGATGGAAGTGTGGTATGTAATCAAACACATCTTACCCTTTTTGTTTGGAACTCTATTTTATGGTTCCATCCCTTTAGTAGCTAAGAGATGAAGGAGAAAACTAAGTCAAAATTGGAATTTTTTTGTTTTTTTTATGTATTTTTAGATTGTGATGGGATTAAACTGAATTGTGTTGAGTTGTATTTTGTCCAGTACCAATTTAATTGCATTTGAAGTTTCTTAGCCTATAGGTTAGTAGTTTAGCAGCTATTGTGTTCTCTAATGACAGTGGCAATTCTATGATTTCTTTCTTAGTTTTAGTAGGATTGGCCATCTATGTTGTAGCTGTATTTAGAGCAAATGACATGGTTAGTGATATTGAAGTGATTTTTTGGCATGTTATGTGTTTGCTGAGTGGTTTCCATAAATGATATTGTGATTCTGTGTGCTCGTTGAGTAGTCCTGCATTTTCCTTCTCTGTGTTTTCTTTCTATCTTCTCTCTGTTTTTGTTTGCAGTTGTTTTAGAAATCAATATCTTATAATAATTGTCATAGAGGTTCAAATCAATGCCTAAAAGGATTTGAATTGAATCAGGTACATACTATTATGTTTATGAGAAAACTTGAAACTTTCTTGTTCCTGCACTTTTCGTCCTTTCGTGATTAACCATGCCCAGTGGCTCCCATTTGGATTCCCGATATTGATCTTCATAACATTTTCCCAAGTTTCATGTCAAAACGCCACCTAGAATCTTACATTCTAGAATTTCTGGGTTTTGTAGTTATGCTTGATTACAGAAAAAAAGGATGAATAAGACTTGCAGAAAAAATAATGGAAGGACTGCATAGGAGAAATATAAAAAGAGAAAGAGAGAAGAAAAGGGGAAAGAATTGGAGAATTGTTTGTGGGTTCTAGTGTAAGCCCACTGTTGGTTTTATTTAATCAACGTAAAGAGAGGGAAGTTACATAGTTGCCCTCATATAGGTGGCAATACAGTAAGACTTAAATAACAACATAATCGGGCCCACTGGCCCAGTAATAAAAGAATGAAGCCTACTATATAAAGAAAAGAATATACAACAGGTGCAATAAAGGATATAATAAGCTGCCGATCATGGATCTTAACATGTTTCTTTGCTACAGAGAAATTTTGTCCTTTTGCTTAAAATGTACTTGGAAGTTGGAACCCTGTTGCTGTGTCCCTACCAAGTTTGGTTGTCCCCTAAAAATATCCATTCCAAATCTACCTACAAAACTTTGTTAGAAAATTCAAATCCTACACATATTTTCCTAAATTTGAGACTTATTACTGTTTTGATACAAAGTTTCAAACATGTGATTCTTGTAGTTAAGTCTTGAAACCTTTCCTAAAAAGGATTTCTATCTTTTAGTGTTTAACTTTTCCTAAATTTTGTTTTATGTAATCAATTCCTTCAYAGACTCACCCTTGAGTCATAATTTGTTGTACACCATTTAGTATCGGAGCAGGTGATCATACTTCATTAGGTTTCTAATTCTTCATCTTGTAAGTATTTGGAAATTACATAAAATGTTAGAATTGCACCTAGCATAAGCTTTCTAAGCTTTCGTTTTATAAAGGTTTGGCGAGTACGTGAAGGTGTGGGAATTGCTTCCAATAATGTTGCTGAATATTGAGCCTTGATTTTAGGATTGAAATTTGCGCTTAAAGAAGGGATTCAACAGATTTTTGCCCAAGGAGACTCAAAACTTGTCTGTATGCAGGTACGTAGTTATTACTCACTGTTCGAATTGTCAGTTTCAGTGGAAATGTTAGTAGTCGCTCAAGATTGAACATACACTTAAAAGAGAGTTGGGTTGATGTGTTTAAACAGCCACCCCCCTCTTAAATTTATATACATAGTATCATACTTGTAAATGGACTGAATTGCTTACATGGCAAGACAAGATAAGATAAGATAATAAAGCTGAAAAAAAGGCTAATCCTAATCTTATAAAAGACTAGTCTAATCTTATAAAAAGACTAGTCTAATCTTATCATAAAGAACTAATCCTAATCATAACTTATTGCTGACATACGAACAGTGGGGACCACCTTAGTGGGGTCCACATTAGTGTTCTCTACACTCCCCCTCAAGTTGGGAATAGATGTTTGTCATTCCCAACTTGCATAGATCTGCTTCTAACTTCTTCGTTGAAACCGCCTTGGTGAGAAGGTTTGCCAGCTGCATGTCGGAGGTGATGTATGGAAGACATACTTCTTGAGATGTAACCCTTTCTCTGATAAAATGTTGATCCACTTCAATATACTTAGTCCTGTCGTGTTGWACCGGATTATGGGCTATATTGATGGCAGCTTGATTATCACAGTACAACATCAAGGGTTTCTCATAAACAATACCTAACTCCTCAAATAACGATCTCAACCATAGGATCTCAGCTACACCATTTGCCATGGACCTATTATTTAACTTCAGCATTGGAACGAGAAACAACATTTTGTTTCTTACTCCTCCAAGAGACAAGGTTACCTCCTACAAAAGCACAATATCCAGAGGTAGATCTTTGATCATCAACACACCCAACCCAATCAACATCTGTGAAAACTTCTATCTTCATGTGATCATTATTCTTGAATAAAATGCCTCTGCCTAGGCACCTCTTCAAATATGCTAGTATCCTCTCAACTGCAAGGAGGTGAGTAGTCCTAGGACAATGCATATACTGACTAACCACATTGACTGATCTTGTGGTTTTGTTCAATGGGTGTGTCAGCAGGCTTAACACCTAACTTTCTTGTTTCTTCCAATAGGTCAAGAACATTCTTTCATTGAGAAACAAAAGTCCCATGCTTGGATCGGGCTACCTCAATGCCCAAGAAGTATCGTAGTTCTCCCAGATCTTTTACATCAAACTCTTGATGAAGGAGTTGCTTAAGGGACTCAATCTCAGTATTATCATTTCCTATTACTACAATATCATCCACATATACAACAAGCAAGGTTAAGGAAGAATCCACTCTCTTAATAAACAAGGTGTGGTCTGATTGGGTCTATACATATCCCAACCCTTCAAGGGTTTGTCTAGATCTATCAAACCAAGCTTTGGGGGACTGTTTTAGTCCATACAAGGCTTTATTCAACCGACAAACCTTCTTTCTGTCTCTGTACCATAAAATCCAGGAGGCAATTGCATGTCAACCTTTTCTTGCAAGTCTCCGTTGAGGAAGGCATTTTTAACATCCATCTGATACAACGGCCAAGAGTAACTGGCTGCAAGAGATAATAAGACTCTAATAGTGGTCATCTTTGCTACAAGTGCAAAAGTTTCCAAGTAGTCAATACCATATGTCTGAGTAAATCCTTTTGCAACTAACTGGGCCTTATACCTTTCAATAGAACCATCAACATTATGTTTCACAGTGAATACCCATCTACATCCAACCGGTTTCTTACTTTTAGGCTGATCAACTATCTCCCAAGTATTGTTTCTAATGAGAGCATCCATTTCTTCTTTTATTGCATCTTTCCATTCTGTTACTTCCAATGCTTTCTGTATTGTTCTGGGAATGGGAACATCGGCAATGGATGCGAGAAAAGACTTATAGGAGGGAGACAAATGATCGTAGGACAAGAACTGAGAAATGTTGTGAGCTGTAGATGTGGAGCAACAACGCTTGCCCTTACGAATTGCTATGGGAAGATCAAGATCATCTAATGAAGGTGAAGGCTCCATGGTGGGATGTCTTTCATGTTGTATCTGTGGTACTTGGATTTGGCTCTATAGAAGGAACTGGGGTTACTGTGGTACCGGGATCTAGATCTGCAGAAGAGACTGGGACTGGCCTGTACTGTTGATGTCCGAAATCAACCTCTCCATCGTCTGTGATATACTCTCACATCCCTGCATCTCTGACAACCCTCCCCATTACACCCCTCTTCACTTAATGGGATAGGTAAAGGAACTTCTGATGAGTCAACCCCATCCTTGCTACTCTCCCCTTGAGGAGAAACCCTTGGATAATATGGTACATCTTCAAAGAAAGTGACATTCATTGAAACAAATCTTTTCCCAGAAGTAGGTTCATAGCAGCAATATTCCTTTTGAGTTTGTGCATAACCAAGGAAAATACATTATGAGGCCTTAGGATCAAACTTGGAACGATGAGGGCCAAGAATCTGAACAAAGCATGTACAACCAAAGGTTTTAAGGGGAATGGTAAATAACTCTTTATCAGGATATAAGATGGTAAATGGAGATTTCATGTCAAGAACCCGTAAAGGAATCCCATTGATGAGATACACTACTATAAGAACAACATCCCCCTAGAAACGTATAGGCACATTGGAGGTAAATATAATGCTTCTGGCTACCTCCAATATGTGTCTATTCTTTCTCTTAGCAACCCCATTTTGCTGTGGTGTACGAGGACAGGTAATCTGATAGATAATCCCATGTTAAAGCAAATAGGAGGCTAATGGGTTTGCAAAATATTCTTTCGCATTATCAGATCTAAAAATTTTGATTTTGACCCTAAATTGGGTTAAAATCATYTGATGAAAGATCCGGGTTAATGTTGGAATCTCATCTCGAGAACGCATGAGATAAATCCATGAAAAACGAGTATAATCATCAACAAACAGTAGGAAATATCTGTACCCCCCGTGGCAGTGGTATGATAAGGTCCCCGAACATCAGTATGCACAATTTCAAAGGGAATATTACTTCTATTATTACTTAATGAATAGGTTGTCCTGCAGTGTTTTGCAAGTTCACAACTCTCACATTTCAAACTAGACATCTGGATAGATTCAAATAAACTAGGAAACAAACTCTTCAAAGCCCGAAAAGATAAATGACCCATCCTATTATGCCAAAGCATAGCCTGATCAATAGACTGAGATGCACAAGACCTCTTAGTCTCACTATCTTCCCAATGAGGAGTCCCTCCAAGCAGATAGACTCCATTTGCCTCACGGTCAGTCCCAATCACCTTCATTGTCTCCAGATCCTGAAAAACACATCGATCCAGAAAAAATGTTACTGAACAATTCCGGTTTTTTGTAATGCTACTAACTGAAAGCAAGTTAGTATTAAGCTTAGGAACATGCAAAACCGAAGATAAGGAAATAGCATTAGACAACTTGATGTCTCCTTTGCTAGAAATAGGGACGAGGGAGCCATCAACAATGGACACTTTGTCTCTGCCTGAAGATAAGTGGTAGGTAATAAATAGTGATGGCAAGAGAGTCATATGGTCAGATGCTCCGGAATCTATTATCCATGAATGTTCTGTATTACCTGTAACTAAGGCTTGGTGAGCTAAGGCCCGATTACCTGAATGAGCAAAAGCTGAGGTAGGGGGTGTTTATGGTGTCTGAGGAGGTGGAGCTGAATTACCAACTTCATTTTCCAGCTGAACTAGAGCAGCTCGGACAACAGCTAGAGTATCTAGTGGATTGCCTCTTGTGCTAGATGATGTTGTACTATCCGTGTTAACAACCATATTTGCATTCCCCTTGTTGTTTCTGAGTTTTGCTGGAACTAGATGTGGATGTAACTTCCAACAGGTTTCTTTAGTATGTTTAGGTTTCTTGCAATGCTCACATACTAGGTCTTTCTTAGCTTCCTTCTTTATGTCTCTTTCCTTATCACTCCTAGATTTGAGCTTAACTGTTGCCAAAGCTGATTCAAAAGGCTGTTGCTGTAGCATAACTTTTCTCCTAGTCTGTTCACTGTGTACTAAGGAATAGGCCTGGGACAGAGTTACACTGTCTCTTGTCAACAGTTGCTGCCTCACAATATCATATTCCGAATTTAGACCAGCCAGGAACTCAAACTCTATTAGTTTCAATCTGTTTTTTGTAAATCTGTGCATCCTTCTGACTTTCCCATTCAATTGATTCAAGGTGGTCAATTTCATGCCACAGGGATTTCAAGATTGAAAAATAAACAGAAACTTGTTTCTCACCTTGCTTGAGATTTTTAACCTCACATTTCAGCTCATAAGCTCTAGCAACATTAAGGGGCTGAGAGTAGGTTTCTTTCACAACATCCCATATTTCTTTAG